TTTTWKYYTYYKTGCCAKYAAAATTGAGTATGCCCAGRAAWTAAGCRCAATACAGTGGAAGAAAAACTCCAAAAGTTGTTTAGTTGAACAGATTCTGGAATAGTGGTGTTCAGTTGTACAGAGCTGGCATAAACAGGAGCAGCATTTCACCTGACAGTTCTTCATGCAACATCAGCTTTTCTGTACGGAGGGGAAAGGGGCTGGAAGTGCACGTGTCTCAAATGTACATCAGGCACATTCCCTGCTAATCACAGTTAAGGTCAGTGCTTTTATTTTTGCCAGCATAGATGAGCAGTCAGTGTTTGGTTTGTGTGTGAAGCAGCTCGTCACYGTTACTAAGAAATGCCTCTTGTTATTCAAAGCCAAAATGTTTTTGCTTTGCCACTGGAAGTTTTGACCCAGCATGGAAATGCAGTCAAATCCATGTGCAAGCAGTGTCCAACCCTCATCTGGGAAATCTGTGAGCAAGCTTTAGGATTGCACAAGGAAAGGGAGGGTGTGTTTGCATTTCAGGTGAGCAGACCCTCAGGTGCTCTTTCACTGCTGCTGCCATCCCAGGGAAGAGAGCTGCTGTGAGCAGGTATAATGCTGAAATATCTCTGCATGTCCCACACATTAAAATGTTCTCCCTTTAGAGCAATCTGGCCCCTTACCAACCTCCCGATGGCCATGAAAATAAACTGCAATGCAAATTAAGCTAAAAAATATCAAAGGGTGAGAGTAAAACTCCTGTCTGCAGAATTCCTGATTTGTGCTTGCGGCCATCTGGCACTGCTGTCCCTGGGGACAGTGACCTCCCTCTCCTCCCTCTGTCAGTGTTTCATTCCCTTACCTCCTTGGTTGCCACACTGGCATTTAAATGYTGCCTTCCAGCTTTTAACTCCTTTTTCTGTTTTTTTTTTTCTGTATTTCTGTCTGTGTGGAATTGTGTTGGAATAGAAATTTCCATAACAGCAGCTCTGCTAATAGAAACATAACACAGTCTCACTTACTGATCTCTCAGGGTGGGCAAGCACCTTCAGCTCCAAGGAGCTGTGGAGAACAAGCATTTGGTTCCTTAGGAAGCATGGAGTGGTCAGTCCCTGTGTCAAGAAAACACAGACAAGTGCTATGGTCAGCCCTAAGCAGGAAAAGTTCACAGCCAATGACCTATAATCTGCCATAATTATAATTTTAATATAATTATGGTTTGATAGTGCAAAGCTGGCAGGTAGCTTGGCCATTCCATTGAGGCTGGTGAAGTTACTTACAGGGTTTTGTATCAGTCTAATGTGTCTGAGCAARGTCAAAAATTAAAAGGAGAATTTTACAGATGTATTTTCAGAAGCATTGCTCCAAAAACTGGTGCTTCTTCTGGGGGGCCAGAGGAATTGAATGTCCTTCTGTTGGATTCCTTTCAGAAAGTGCAGACCTACCAGTTCAGCTATGGAAGAGATGGATATGATGGACCATGGAAAGAGACAAAACCAGAAAGGTAAAAAGRTCTATCTCCCACCCTTCCCTGAACACACTCTAAGGAAAACATTCCTAGCAATGAAATAAAGAAGAGTGGTTCCTACCCCTGGAGCTCAGTTCTACATTTCATCAAAGTGCTAATTGAAATGAGTTTGGTGGTGCTGTGCAGCCCTCTTTAGGGAATCCTCATTTCAAAGCTGCTCCACACAACCTGGCACCAGCCACAACATGGACCAAAGTGAGCTGCAGCACTGAGCTGATGTGGAAAAGGAGYCAYCTCTGGGYCCAGGGGACAGGAGCTGCCTGGTCRGGGACTKKGTGTGTGGCTCTGTGCACMAATCCATGGGCTCACASTGCACAGCATCRTGCATTTCTCATTTGGGACGAGTGACACTGCACATCCTGCTCTCAATGGTACCAATGTCACACAGCAGCTGCATCCTGGATGAAAGGAATTGACACGGATATTTTATGGGAGAGTAACTATATAATGAAGGCATACAAATATGTAAAAATGGAACTGTTCACAAAAGAACTGCCATTACTGTCAATAATATAGAACGTGGGAATATGCATCTCCATCTGTCAATAGCTAAAGGTCAGAGCATTTCCATCCTGGAAGTGCTTCCAAGGTGGATCCTCTGAGGATTTATAGAAGCATGCTGAAGTAAAATACCAGCTAAACATTAYTTTTGGTGAAAGGACAGAGGAAGGAGCTAAGAAACTTATTCAAGTCGAGCCTCATCTAGTATCAGTTCCAGATCTTAAATAGATGAGGTGAAGCCCCATTTGTGCTGCAATCCTCTTCCTGCACGGCCTGATGTGGTGTTTTGTGGATTGTTATAAACTGTTCCTTCAGGGCTTTGATTAAAAGACTGTACAATGTGCAGGGCAGCAGAGACTCATCCCRAGACTTGGGAGTTATTCCTGTTCTGCTGGAAGCTGACATTGCACTGACAACCATCTCACACCTGCTTTATACTCACAGRTTTTCTGTTTCTCATCTTAGGGACACAGACCACAGCAATGCCTTTTTTTCTAGTTTATGTTCTTGGTTGATTTGTGAAAGTATCTCTCAGGATAGTTGATATCTTTTGGCTTTGTATTGCAGGCACAGTTTTCATCCTGGTATCAGCTTCTTCAAAGCCTGAACAATTGACTTTTTTTTCCTCACTTGTTAACTTAATGTAGGTTGCCTTCCTGCTACTCCACTAGAATGCATTTCTGCCRTGTTGGATAGAAAGGAATAAAAGGAAAGAAAGCAGAAAGAGCCCCCAAAACTGCTACTGCTTCCCATTCTAGGCCCTTTTATGTTGCAAAGAAAACRATTCCCATAACTCCCATCACAATGGGAATGGGAATACACAAAATCTGAGGTTTATCTAAGCTCCACTGAAGGAGAATCAGAATTAGAGATTTTAATTTTATTGCAATTTTAGGATTGACACGAAGGCTGGAATTAGATGAACCAAACTTTTTTGAAGTTCCCTGATGCACGAGCCTTGATTTTTCACATGACATGAAAAATTGTCATTCAGCCTTGCTTCTTTATTTTACCGTTCAGCCAGTCAGGTACTGTGAGTTTGAAATTCCAGAATTGCAGCTTTTTGCCTTAATTTAAGGTCAACAAAATTATGCTGCAGCCTCTGACTGTTTAGTAGAGGTTATTACATGAAATGAACAACACAAGTGCACAAGCAGAGTAAGATTAAGGCAAATCAAAGCATTTCATCTACAACTTTTCATCTTTTACAAATCATCTTGGAAAAATGCAAATCAGTTCACTTCTCTCAGTTTCTGCACCATTGAACAGTGCTGTGTCCCTTAAAGTCTCTTCCAGTTTCTTACACTTTTCACTCTTTCTTTCTTCCCCCTTTATTACAACACCTCTCTTTTTGCTCCATCCTTTTCCCTGACAGATCCTGCCTTTGGCTTTGGCAGAGCCCTGCTTTTGGTTGCAGTTGCTGTGATCTGTTTTGGTGCCCAGAGTGTCAGCTGTTTCTGAAAAGACACATCTGCTTGAAAGTAAAGCTCTCTGCTTGCTGAATTGCTCACATAAATGACTCAAACTCTGCTTGTGGAGGGACTGGGAGCCAGATCTTTCTCTTGCTCTTTCCTTCACCGTGTCTGAAGGAATGAGGGTGCCTGACTCCCAGAGATGAGCAGAGAGGGACAGGTTTGTATCAGAGCAAAGAACAGGAAGGTTGTAGGAAGAGACTGTTCCTACCCAAATGTGGCTGGAGCCTGTAGAGCGTGCTTGCTATCAAAACATTTCTCTCCCTGAGCARTCTGAAAATATACAGCACAGAAAAGTGGCTGTGATTTACCTCTAAATGTGGCAAAACATTTTAAATAAAGGGCAAAATCCTGCCTGCTCTTTTTATTGCATTAGAAAAAAGCAGCGTGAACAGATGAAATGTTCAGGCACCAGATGAGAGCAGACAGGACCAATAAAATCAGAAATAAAGAAGGTGTTTTACTGTGCTCTGGTGGATGGGTGAATGATGTCTCTGAAWTCTCTCTCCCCACCTCCCTGTGTACAGGTTGGATGCTAAGTAGCCCTTTCTGTAATTGCTGCCTCGTGCTTGCTGAGTACCTGGAGACAGAGGAACACGATGATAACCTCTCTAAAACTCTCCAGTGACCATATAAAGCCCAAGACTGAGGTCTCTGATAGTGCTTTAATGACTGCATAAAGAATTACAGCACATTAAGGCTGATCCCAGGACATGCAGCACGCCATCCATAAAATCAGCCACATGGCAGCCTCTTCCCAGTGCAGATAAATGAGTGACAGAGGAAAAGGTCACGAGGATTATGTAGAGTAAGAGATTTTCTGGCCATGAGATCATCAGMTCATTTAGACTCAGCACCTGTATAACACATGGTAAATAACCCCACCGTGTGGCCCTGGAGTCCATCCAGGTACTTTGTGTTAAATGGATGCAACAAGGCACCGAGTCTGCTCTAGAGTCACTCAAAAATGGGAAATCTGACACTTCCTCTGATGTTTGGTGATAAAATGTGTATTGTTGCCTCATTGTGATCTAATTCGGAAAGTTTTAAGGATCCCTTTGTCTGTCTTTAGATWGTAAAATCCTGCAGGGAATGTGCAGGAATGTCTTGATGTGTTTGGACCTTATTGAAAAGGAAAGGCCACAGCAAACAGGAATGCCAGTTGTTAAAAGGGGCACCAGGACTCACTTCACAATTGATTTGTCCTTCATGTCCTCAGGTGGTGACACATCATCCTTGCCAAGACATCCTGCCAAAACAGAGGGAAAAAGTAAAGAGATTTGTTTAAATGGTCACTCTAAGCTGTAAGGAAAGCATCATCACATAAAAGGAGTAATAACAAGAGAGTAGGGAGTGTTCTGGGGGAAAAAAAACCTGAGATTGTGCATTACAGACCAGACACTGACAGAATGGACTTGGCCACTAAGTTCAGCTGCAACTTCAGCAGTTGAATTGGCTGGATAAAATCTGCTGTGCAGAAAAAAAGTCTTTATTCAGACTTTTAACAGAGTTTATGTTTCGTTAAKGAAGAAACCCCAAACCTTGCAATATAAACAGCACATGCTTTACACGTGGATGTTGCAAATGCATTTCAGATCAACAACAATTTGGGAAGCTGAAATATCAAAAGATATCAATTTGTACAGGCAGCCTGCTGCACTGTGAGACTGCACAGCCTCAGAATGCCCCAGATGAAAATGCCCTGATGCAGCTGAGGCTTGGTGTGAACCCAAACTCAACCCAACAGTCAGAAGTTGCCTTTCCAATTCCTGCTCACAGGAATGCRTCCATTCATCACTTCTGGGTTGTGACAATGGACTTTCTTATTAAGGAAGCACTAGCTTCCTAATAGAGATTGTATTTAAAAGATTAAAAACAGTAATTAATGCAATTGATTATTTATCACCCAGGAAGAATTTTTACAGACATTTAGGTAACTAATATTTCATTGCTTTTTCCACAGAGTGCTTAAGCAAGGCTTATTACAAATGTGGTTTGGCTGCCAGATACAAAAGAGCAGCTCAGGAATGCTGGGGTTTGTGCATGTGATTGCTCACACATTGCACACAGCCTATCAGCAATAAGTTCAATTCAGGGTTCTGCTCATTGACTCCCTGCAAATACCCCAGCTTCTGAAAGTGGCATTGKAGCAGTCACAATGTCTCAGTCAATCAATAAATGCCAGTTGAGAAATGAATATCCATACTCACAATTGTAGAAAGGGCTTGGGGTCTTTTCTAAATGTCTGAGGAACTTAGAAACTCTTGCTAAATCTCCCATTCTTGGTAGATATCACAGAAATGAGCAATCAYTTTTCACGAGTTATTGACACATGCAAGGCTTTGCTTTGGCAGCTCTCTGAAATAAAGCACAAGTCAGGTTTGGTGGAAAGCAGTTACTGTGATTTATAAAGCAATACTTAATATTAAAGCAGAACATGAAACTTTGTGTTTGTTGAGTTGTCAGATGGAAAAACTCTGACTGAGCTCTACTGAAACAGAAGATTTTGATCATTTTGTAACATTCTTGATGCTTATAAAGAAGAACAGATTTTGAAAGTACAACTTAGATGCTCAAAATCTAATATWCAGAAACATTTTTATATAAAAATATGTAAAAATCAAATATTCCTTAGTAAATCAGTGAACAGATTTGGCATTTTTCATTAATTCTCCAATTAAAAAAAAAAAAAAATCTCAGCTCAACTAAATAGTCATCAATATTATCAAGAAGGAATGGRTTTTGGTGTCTATAAATTGCACTTTAGTGCACAACAGTGATAAAGATAATTTTCAGCAGTCTTGAAACAAGGTAATCTTGTTTCCTCAAATATTAAAATAAATAACTACTGAAGTTTTTCAAATATATATATGCTGCTGTGCTACATTTAACAGGCATTTAGCAGCCAGACACAGCACATTTTGTGACTTCACACMTCCACTTAAAGCAGAAAATCTCATTTGACCTCACTGCTGTCAAATGCAGTTATATCCYAATGGTGTCAAAACGTGAAGTGAAACTTGGACAAGTAGGAGAAGAAAACAAACTAAAACATTCTTTGAAATACTCCTATAATGTAAGGGCAGCAGTTCAGCTATTTGATCGTTACCTTGCCATGGGAGTCATTATGAACGAGGCATTTATTTGGGCTGTGTCTTACTTTGAGCTCTGTGAATGATCTGTAATTTAGAATAAAATTTCCCACACTRGGAAGATAATTCCAGTGACCTGTGCTGGTACAAGCATGGTCTAACACCAGCATCCTCTTCTGTGCCACAAACCAGGATGAAAYATCATCCCAAAACTGAGAATCTTCACTGGCAGGAAAAGGTGTTCTGTGCTATAAAAACATTCCCTTGTCAAATTGCTCCTGCTGAAAGGATGCCAGGAAAATTCAGTACAGTGGAAATAGAACATGAACTCCAAGTCCCTCACTGTGGGTTTGATTTACCTGGCTGGATTCCAAGGAAAAATAATAGTACACAACATGGTGTATGGATACATCAGCCTACTGTGCTTCCCACACTTTGCATGGAGTAATTAAAAACAAACCCCTTGTAAATGATGTAGCAGGAGTTGTGTACTGAAGGAATTAAAAGCAGTTTCACTTACTGAGATAATCCTTGCTTTCCCAGTAGCTACAATCTAATAACAGTCAAATAAAAATAAGAAAAATTCAGTTAAGAATAATTTTGTTTCAAAAGTGGCCTCTGAGTACAAAGTTGTCAGTAGCTGAGTAAACTCATGTTACCATAGCAAACAAAAAATATGGTATCAAAAATAACTTTTCATGGCTATTTTTGCCTCCTGTYACTTGGGGATGTTAAACCTTGGTGGCTTGTTGTGATCTGACATAGAAAGTGTCCTCTCCCCGCTCTTTTATATCACTGTAACTGTATTGACTTTGTTATTTCTGAGTTGTGCAGGGAGGAGTGAGAAAAGAACCATTCCCCTGGAGTAAAATTCCAATTTCAGTGTCGGTTTGTGCACAGCCACTTATCCCTATGAATTATGTGAAAGTCGTGGATACTCCGGGTGTAAATCCAGGTGGAGCTGTGCCACGAATCTGTGAATGTGCTGCACTCCTGAGAGSAGAAAAAACAAACCTAAAGACCTGACAGCCTTATAAAAGCATTCCCACCGTGGCATAATCTTTTAGAAAAAAAAATAAATCATAGCCCATCTTTTTGCAAATTGACCTGTAAGTTCCTGGCAGCAAATCAATAGGATACAAATGAAAAATAATAATGCAATAACAATGCTGTGTATTATCCTAGGCCCCAGATGAAAGCCTGTGCAACGATCAATATGATAAAGATTCAGCRCTGCTACTCCCTTCCAAAGGAATGGTGAAATAACAGACTGATTTCAGAAGGTGCCTGTAAAACACACCAAACCCATCTGCTACGAGAGGGAAAGAAAAACCCAAATATAAAACACTTCCTTGTTTGTCTGTTTCTTCTCCCCCAGACTTCCATTAATTTCAACTGGAATTAAAGGGAGCAATTTTTTTGCTGTCATTTGGAGAAAGCAAGGAAGGGAAAGAATCATCCATTYTTCCTTAGGCTCAAGAAGCTCAAAGACAAGAACTCATTTGAATACCACAGGAATATGGAAAATGGTGATTTCCTCAGGTACCTGTGTGCACTTTGTTTAGTATTTGATTTTAATGTTAATTTTAATTGACAGTGGGCACACACTCCAAGCAGAGACAGGAATGTTTAGGAGGATGATCTGAACCTCTGAATGAATCCCTTGGATCATTCTTTGATAACAATTACATACACAGGAATATAATTTATACATTTACCTAACTAATCCAAAGTACATTATATATACGACTGTAGCTGTAGTTCCAAACATCCCCAYGTGCTGCTGTTGTGCCCCCATCCCATGTCACACCACACTGAAGGTGCAGAATCATTTTTAATGCCAGCTTTGGGCTGCTCGTGCACAACCAACGAGTCAGTCCTAAGGCCAAGAACTACAAGGTAGCTGAAGAAGCCATTATAACCAATGGCATTTATTTCTCCCCAAAGGTTTGCAAGGTGCTGTCTGGACAAGCAGCAAAGCAGAGACTTCCCAAAGTCAGTCAAGGAGAGGGGTGAGGGCAGGATTGAGGGAGARGTGACAAAGCCACATGAGGACAGTGTCTGTGGCACACAGCCCTGCCTGTGCAGCTCGTGTTCTGCAAGTGCAAGGTGAGCAGCTGCTCTTGCATCAGTCTCTGTGTCTACCCACAACCACCTTAGCGGGCAAGATTTTTATAAATGAGAGCATGCAAAGATTGTGGCGACTTGTGCATTCCCACAACTATGTAAAATAACTTCCACAATCAATGCAACATGGCACRTGGCAGTTACCCTTCGATCTCACTTAGATTTTCATTTTGGATTACCAAGCGCAGGGTGAAAATAAAATACCTTTCCTGAAAGGCAGCCAAAAGCCATGRTTTTTGAATTCCAGTTTATGTTCAGAGCTTTATCACAATTTCATATGAATAACAATTTCATATGAATAAGTTCTTAGCATAGAAATTTGCACAATTGCTTCAAGGTGCATTTAAAGTCATTTATCTCCATATGGGTGCATTGCTCTAAGAATTTTAAGACTTACTTCCATTTGAATATTAATCCACGGTTTGTGGTTAGAAGGAGAGAACAGAGTTTCTCACRTAGCTCAGGCCCACCACTATGGGGTGACAGGTGGCAATCCCCTCTTGATCCCATTAAAAYCATGAGCATTGAAGTTACTGTGCCCTTCCAAGCAAAGGGTGGAAGTCTCACTAGAYATGGTGATGTCCAGATCCTGTGAAATATCAGCCAAGGGAGACACTGGAAAGTACTGCTGGAAGGCTCTCTCTGTCAGGGTACAGTAACATTTTTCCATCTTACTTCTTGGGGTTTTTTAGCAAAYTGTGTTTTGCATGGATTTTTTACTTTTCTTTATATTGTCTCTCTTTTACATAGCATTTGTAGCAATTCAGAACAAGCTCAAAACTGAAAAATCTCACTTTGGGGATGATTTTTCAAAAATAATCAAGATTTTTTATAGAAATAAGATGAAGTTTTTCCGACAGCTGCAGCTCCCACCTGTTTGCAGCACTGAAGGCAACAAGCACACAGGCGCTTTCCCCAGATGTGCCAAAGTGATTTCTGCATTATTCACTCCTTCTGTTCTCCCTTAGCACRCTGTCATTGTCAAACCTGAAGGGATGAGTCTAAGGAGATGCTCCTGAGCCTACAGAACAGTGGAAAAGCGAGCCCGTGCTGCTCTCAGGAACACGTTGTGACACCACAGAGGAGCAGCAGCAGCAGCAGCTTGTTCCCATACCCTGCAGGACAGCAGGGCATTGATCAAAGTGCCCACAGGAGCCTCTGTGCCAGCCCTGCTGCTCCTCAGTGCCCTTTTCCCGCAGGGAAATCTCCCCCAGCCCCTCTGGAWGGAGGCATTGTTTGGAGGAGCGGTCCAATCTGCTTTCATGGGCTTTGGGCAGAAATGCAGGGCTGTGGCTGTGCCTGGGACAGGAATCACTGCCCAGTGCTGCAAACGGGGAAAGGAGCAGCAGTGGGGTCCCCTTTGCCTTTCTCCCTGTGTCAGCCCCTCCTGCCACTGCTTCTTGCCTGGGAGCTTGAAACAGCCAAAGAAGGACAGGCTGCAGGYTAGATAAGGAAAAATCTTCCAGTGGAAGTGACTCGGTTTCAATTTGAAAAAGCCAGGAAAAGATATCCTAAATACTCTTTTCTACAGTCAGGGCTGGTTATTACCTTGAATATGAAATCAGAGCTATATATATTTTCAAAGACCAGGAAACCAACTCTTCCTCTGCCATAAAGCTAAACAGTATTCTGCTTTCTGTTTCCAAGTAGGCTGCTAAATCACACGAAGGATTTTTTTTTTTCTGTTTTTTAGCTGCTGTCCCTTTTTTTGCATGGCTCATGAGCCCTAAGGGCAGCCTGAGCTCAATGAAACAGGCAGCCAAACACTACACAGCCCTCACTGAGAAGAAACATAATTAATTTTGAAATGTCCTRTAGGATTTGTAATTACCAAAACCTGATTTCTACAGCTGAGGTATCCCAGACCACAGGTATCCCATTTCAGAGACATAATGCTTTAAATCAAGTGGAACAGTTTCTTAATCTCAATTTTTTTGTGCTCAGGTGTTAATATTAAAAGCCTGCTTAGTCATAATGTGAAGCAAAACAGGTATAATTCAAACCAAACATCTAAACCCAAGTAAAGCCTGAGAAGAGGGAAAAAAACAAAAGAGACATATCAAAGCCAACTGGGAATATTTGGAAGCAGTGCTTAGCCTTCCTAATTTTTGGAGAGGACTCAAGAATATAAWGGCAAAAATATCACATGTAAACAAAACCAAGGCCACCTGCTCTAATGAAAAGAAACATTTCMTTGCTTCACAGTGTGCCTTCCTTTTCACTGATAAAGCTTGGAGATCTGGAAAGATCACAGTCCAAGCTGCTTTAAAAGTAGAACCTGCACTACTGTCCTAAAAATAAACACAGCTTTATAATGCAAGTATTCAATATTTGCTTAAGAAAAATGGGAATATGTTAGCTGGGTCTTCAGACCTCTACACTTAGAAATGAACATTTATACCTTGAAAGTAGAACTGATAATCTTCAAAGGATTTTCCCAAGGTGGGAGGGGACCATTCTGTGCTGCAGGAGTCGGGCACTGAGTGTTGTGTCTCACCACAGAAGAGGTGATGGATCTCCTATGGAGAGCTGAGAGCCCCAAATGAGCCAGGAAGCAATCCAGTCCATGTGGGATATCCCTCAGCAGCCTCAGCATTCTGAGAGAGCTGGAAAAAAAGAGTTCATGTTTATATAAAGGAAATGGGAAATGCAAGGGAAGATAATTTCTGAAAACATTTTACATTTTTGTCCTCAAACACAGGTGAAACCAAGTGCTGTGTAAARATCGTAGGCCAAACTGAAACCCCAGAAAAAGAGTTAAAGGCTGTGSCTCCCTTCATTTAATTTATTTCCAGCATTATTCAGAATGAAGACACTTAATCCCTAATGTAAACCTGCAGGGAACATTATTTATCTCAAGGAAGACTTGAAGGCTAATGTAATTCAAACTGCAATTTTTGTCTTCTCATTGTATGRGGTGGGAAGAAAAGATGGATTAAATTGCTTTCTGGAGTCATCAATACTCAGTTTAAGGAGGTGGTGGGGCCGTGATTCCTTGGAATGATTCAGGTACACATTTGGTGCCTTTAATGAAAGCAAACTTACAGGTTACAATGGAAAATGRCAGAAAAGTGATCTCATAGAACTGGGTCTGTGCTAATCTGACCTGTTTATKTGATGCACCCAAAGGAGGTATTTCATTACCTTCATTAGAGCAGGATATGAAGAAACAGCTACAAGAACCAGGCCTATGTGTGCAATTGCAGAGGACTCGTCTGCCTAAGGGTAATTTTATGCCACAAATAAATGCTCACGATCACAATGAAAATGACTCTGCATTCCTTCACAGTTATCACATTAGATAGTTTTCATCCTTCTTAATAAAAAAATTATTAATAAGAATGGAACTGGTCTCTAAAGCATTTGATCATTGCTTTCAGGAAAATGAATCAAGGGGAGGTTCTCATTATTTTTTTAAATTGAGAAAATACATTTAAATGATGCTGCTTTAAGTTTTATCCCCTGTCCTTCTGCCACTCCGTCGCATGACATTTTTTTGCTGAGGTCACAGGAGCATTTGCAATATTAATGTATGCATATAGGCCTGAAACACTTGTATCTTCACTTAAAACAAGTTTAAATTTTAAACGTGTTGGAACTCATAATCCAAGTACCTGGAACAGCTTTTTCAATAATCTTTCCATGAGAAAATGAAATTAAAAACACCCATCGGGAACAATTCCAGCTTCAACCAATTTGCTTCTCATCCAGAGGCTTGACATTGTTTGACTGGAGCTGGAACCTCGTGCTCCCCGGGGTGAGCAATCTCCAAAGCAATGAATCCACTGGCATTTCCCAAAGATTCATCAGACATTGCAGAGAAAGACAGGGTAAAGAGAGGTAAAGGTGAAGAGAGGAAAGGAGCGGGTTCAGGTGCCCACCCTTCACCTGCAGTGCCTGCTGTGCCCAGCTCTTGCTATAAATTATCTTTCCCTCTGCTCATTATGAAGTTTGCTGCCAGCATCATTTTCCGTTTGCTTCTTTTCCCTTTGCCAGCTCCAGCTTCTCTCTGCGTTAGGTAAAAGTTATTTATCCTCACTTTAAAGGTTCATTATTATTCACTCCCTACTTTCTCCCTGTCACGTAACATCCAGGGAAGGAGCTGTGCACCCTGCAGCCCCCTGGGACATGCAGCTGACCACTGCTTTCCTGAGCTTTGCTTCTCCTGTGTTCCTCTGGCACAGGGGAAGGGACAGATGGCCCTGGGAGCTGCTGCTGAGGCACTAAACCCTGTTGAGGGGACACAATTTCCTGTCACAGGCCTGGGAAGTGATTTGCACAAAGTACCCACAGCCCTTCCAAGCTAAATAATAAAAGGAAATAAATAACAGGGAAAGAAAGGAGAAGAGTGGGCATGCAATATGTAAATATTTTCTGATTTCTGCAGGAAATGATACCCCAGTGACACTGTGCACTGATGAATGAGAGAAGTAGAGCAAACCAGGAYGCTTTCTCCAAATGTTTGGCAGCCATCACTTTTCCAGAGCTCAGAATGACGAGTACGAGACCAAGGCTTTCTGAGCCTCTAACACAAAAGATGAATCCTCAAACACCAGGCTCAGGTGACAGGATAAGAAGCCCAGCACATCATGTCTGAGATGTAAATGGATCCATCTGTCAGCAGTTACTTTATAACCGAATTGCTCCCAATTAYGCCAGAAACAGCTTTTAATGAAACATGATTTTAAAGTACTACAGAGAGGAAGAAAATGTGCAAAGTAAATTCCTGATATAATGAAAATTGAAAAGAGTGATAGATTCTGCTATTATAATTGGCAAAGGGAATGGAGGGTTTTGATAGAGGTGACAGTAGAACAGCTTTTGGGGTATTATTTGGCTGGGATAGCAATCTTCTCATCACACGTCCAGCCTGTCTTCAGAGGTCATTTTCAAGGTACATGCTCAGATGAGAAATAGCAGTGTTAGATGACAATTTTCTGATGGCTGCAAAGAAATGTTCATTACGTTGCCTTCTTGCCACAGAAGGGACTGGCCATGTATCAAATGGTAGGAGGAGTGTCAATGAAAAACTGGAGTTTGGATATTCTGAATTTAAATCCTTCACACAGTCCACGCTCAGCCCTTTCTCTTATGACAGGAAGTCAATGAACCCATATGAAGTGGCAGGCAAACACTTTTTTCCCCCAGTTTTTTCTGAGTTTGGGTGTGAGAGGGAGRCACGGATGGCACAGGTGGCCCCACACCTGCTGAGCACAGATCTGAGGGAGTGTGACACATTTCTTCAGGCAATCTCTGAGAGCTCTTTGCACAGCCTGGCGGCTGGAACTCAGCACATTTGTTTGGCACTCACTGSTGTTGTAGGCTCAGAGAGAGTTTAATAATGCTGAATTTAAAGTTATTAGAAATACCATTGCTTTCACAAGTACACAAATATTGAATTACTACACCTCTTTGAGATGGGCTGAATTACGAGTAGTATTTCATTGACTGATTTATGTTGGAAATTCACATTTACAAATTATATTCACCAATAAACTCGGCTTAGGTATGACACACAAGTTATTGCTGTTACTCAGGAARTGTTTTCTGCTTGGGCTTTTGTTCTTGGGAATGCTGTACACCAAACAATATATTTCCCACATGAAATAGCTTCCCCGAAACATCTGCTGCCAGAAAGTTTTGTCTGGAACTTGCAATGATGGATGAATTTTTGACAGGTAATTGCAATTCAGATCAGATGCAGACAGATTTAGTACCGAGAAGCTCCCAGTTTATTAAAATCACCATTGATTTATATGAGCACCCCCTCTCTTTTCAGCACCATTCAGAAATGAATCACTGGGGTATGGTGTTCGGGGCTCATCCAGCTGCTCATAATATGAAATACATCAGCTCATCCCAACTTTATCTATCTCTCAGCACTTCTGAAGGACCCATCAACACAGGATCCAGTCAGCACCAAACCTGACATCTGCAATTAGAGTAAACCAAAGAAATTTTGAATTTAGATCAGTTACACGGCTTAAACTCCTCAGGCTTACTAAAGCAAATTGTCACCACTATTCATCACAGCCATGAAAATGATATTTCTATTATATCATAGAGACATAATCACAGTACAGCTGGCTTGGACTGTGCCAGCTTTAGACAAAGCAGAGTTGCATTAAACTCCTTAGGCTGCAGACAGAAAGGACTGATCACACCCAGACATCTGATTTTAAATCCATGTTGATTTGAATAATGATATTGGCACATGGTACACCACCAGTCCTCAGTGAAGTAAGCAGAGATTCACTGTAGGTATTTTCCTGAGCTCTGGCTGCTCCCAGACAGATTTCCATCAAACCTTTTGGAAAGTTTGACATTAACTTGCTTTGCACCTCACATCTGTTCCGATAAAGGATTAGTTATGCATGGATGGCAGCCATATGACCCTCAGCTATTTTTCTTACACCTTTCCCAGACTAAACAGAGCTAGGGAGGTGTGGGACATGCTTGGAAAAGAGCCGTAGAAAGCTGAGGTAAAATGAGCAAGGCAAATGCAGMCACCTAAAGCATTTCTACTTGATTTAACCCACAACTGCCATTAGAGTTATTTCAGAATGGCCACTGAAGTGACTCAAGGAGAATGGCAGAAGGTAACACATGATATCATGCCATGAAAATAACCTAGAAATACACAACTGCCAGCCCCTGAGCTGAAATCCCAATATTTTTTCCCTGCAGTGGGCACAAGCACATGTCAAAGGACAAGAGCAGAGCAATGGTGCTCCTGAGCCCCATTCCCCTGCCAATTCTTCCAGCCCAGAGGGACTTTCTCAGCCAGATGTAATTCTGTGCATTTACTGTCAAAGGYAAGTACCATTAGGCTCATGTGGAGAGAAGCTCCAATTTGTTTGTCATTCCAAGTCTATTTGGGATGCTGCTCTTGCCCTGAGCCATTGGATGTTTCTGTTATTATTGCACATGCCAGGAAGTGCACCTAAAGAAGGAACCTGAAGGTCTGTCAGCTTTGGAGCAGATCCCATAAGCTCTTGCTGTGCTTGTTTTCACTGCCACTCMAACTGCTTTAGCTRCTTSCTGGAGGGAACGGTGGCCACACSRATGTTCTTGGTGTATGAGCAGCAGKGAGTACAGAAATGGGAATGCCTACAGAAAATCCATGTCATTGCTCCCMCCAGGGAGGTTTAGGTGATGGTTTCCCATCCTGTCCACCTCCCTCTTGCCATCCCAACTCAGAGTGGAGTGGCTGGGATTACTCCACACCACAATTCCTTGGCTGGCTGTAACTCCCAGGWACAGTGCCCCAGCATGTGCTTTGACTGTTTGAGTCCTGTGTCTAGCTCAAGTGAGCAGAAGAGGAGAGCAAGGAATCATGTTTTTACCAATAATCATCCTCTCTTTAATTACTCAGGCTGCTGCAAAGAAATTACTCTTCTGCCAGAATTTTCCAGATATGAGCGCTCATCAATCTTTTAATGATTTTAGACAGAATATGTGGATCCTCTCTCTCCTGCTTATAAAGAGTGGTTTAAATCTTTAGTAAGCTAATATTTTAAGGAGAGAGGGCCCACAGTGGCTCTGACAAAGCTGATTATAGAACATCAGAATGAGGATACACCTCTATTAAAAAGTTTTATA